CTACTAGCAGAAATTAGTTTTCCAAGCTCTCTCCAGAGTCAGCGGTAAAGAGTTTGAAAGTGTCCCACAGAAAGGAATTCCCAAATGCATCTTCCTGGATTCTCAAAGAGGTTTTTGCATTTAGGTGGTAGCAGCCATCCCACTCCAAGGCCAGGGACTCTGTAATCTTGGGGAGTTTTTAAACAAAGGCCTTTAGTGGCAGGGTATTTTAAATGCTCTTCCAGACCCCCATCTTCTGCCAGAATGGGGAACAGCCATGACAACCCCAGAGTTATACAGCGATAACCAGTTGTACCACGCTGAATGTTCAAACAGGCTACGTCTACACTGGCATGATTTTCCAGAAATGCTTTTAACGGAAAAGTTTTCCGTTAAAAGCATTTTCGGAAAAGCGCGTCTAGATTGGCAGGACGCTTTTCCACAAAAGCACTTTTTGCAGAAAAGCATCCGTGGCCAATTAGACGCGCTTTTCCGCAAAAAAGCCCCGATCGCCATTTTGGCAATCGGGGCTTTTTTGCAGAAAAGAAATTTCTGCTGTCTACACTGGCCCTTTTGCACAAAAGTTTTTCGGAAAAAGACTTTTGCCCGAACGGGAGCAGCATAGTATTTCCGCAAAAGCAGTGACAATCTTACGTGAGATTGTCAGTGCTTTTGTAGAAATTCAAGCGGCCAGTGTAGACAGCTGGCAAGTTTTTCCGGGAAAGCAGCTGCTTTTCTGGAAAAAGTGGCCAAGCTAGACACAGCCACAGAGTATCTATGACTGTGTAGCTCTGTGGTCTGAACATCAATAAGGAAAGGAGTTCTCTACTGCCATCTACCCGTGGTCTGAAGGAAGAGACAGGATGAGCCAAAACAAAAGACAGGACTATGCAACACTTTAAAGACTAACAAGATAGTTTATTAGGTGATGAGCTTCTGTGGGCCAGACCCACTTCCTCAGATCAATTTGTGGAAGGAAATTGGCACAACCATATATACCAAAGTGATACAATCAAAAAAAAGTGAACACATATAAAAATGACGAATCAGATTTAAGAACAGAGGAGGAGTGAGGGGGGAAGGTTAGTGTCTGTGAGGTAATGACATTAGGGGTGATAATTGGGGAAGCTATCTTTGTAATGGGTGAGATAATTAGCATCTTTGTTAAGACCCGTACGCAAAGTACCAAATTAAAGCATGAATGACAGTTCTGAGGCTTCTCTTTGAAGTCTGGAGTTAAAAGCTCTTTGAAGCAATATGCATGTTTTAAGGTCATTGAGAGAGCCAGGCATTAGTTGCATGGCTAATACTAGGTCTGGACAGAAAATGGGGTTTATATCCCAAATATGGTCCTTGGCCTAAGAATGCAGTAATTCAACAGAGATTTGTACAGCACAATCTCCAGGAGTGCAAATATCAGAGGATAGGGGGTGGAAAGCTGGAATATTTTATGAGCTGCAGTTTCTGGTTTGTAACCTGTTTTATTTTCCCGATTGCATAACGCCCCCCATCTTTATACTTATAGGCTACGTCTAGACTGGCATGATTTTCCAGAAATGCTTTTCACGGAAAAGTTTTCCGTGAAAAGCATTTTCGGAACAGAGCGTCTAGATTGGCACGGACGCTTTTCCGCAAAAGCACTTTTTGCGGAAAAGCATCCGTGCCAATCTAGACGTGCTTTTCCACAAAAAAGCCCCAATCACCATTTTCGCGATCAGGGTTTTTTTGCGGAAAACAAATCTGAGCTGCCTACACTGGCCCTTTTGCGCAAAAGCTTTGTGCAAAAGGACTATTGCCTGAATGGGAGCAGCATAGTATTTCCGCAAGAAGTACTGATTTCTTACAGTAGGAAGTCAGTGCTTTTGCGGAAATTCAAGTGGCCAGTGTAGACAGCTGGCAAGTTTTTCCGGAAAAGCGGCTGATTTTCCGGAAAAACTGGCCAGTCTAGACACAGCCATAAGTTCCAGTTTGACTCTAATGATTTTGCAATCATTAATTGTGAAGTGGTGTTAAGCTTGGGGTTTTCTGGCGCTATCATTTGATGGTTATTGTCAGGCTTCCCATTGTTATTTCTTATTTGTTGTCTCTCCTTCAGCGATGTCTGTCCCTCTCCAAGGTTTGTCACTCTGTTGTCCGGCAGAAAAAATTTTTTTATACAGAGAGGGAGATTATTCGGTAGTCACTACAGCCGTTCCCTGACTTACGACAACCTCAGCTAACGACCATCTGCACTTACGAGCAACCTCGCAGCAGCACGTCGGGGACTGTATACACTCATCCACTGCATTTGAAACCCATTGTGAGGGGGTGAGAGGAGGGCCTGGCAGTGCAGGGGCTAAACAAAGCCTTTTTGCCCAGATAGCCCCGCCCCGTTTTACCTGCAGCCAATGCCTGAGCTGGCGGGAGAATAAGAGAGAGGAGCCTGGCTCAGTTGGGGGCTGACCAGCGAGGAGACAGTAGCTGGTTCTGCTGTCTGCAGTATCTGAGCCAGAACCCATCTACATGGCCAACCCGCAGAGCACGTGAGCCTCTCACCCCACTCCCTGGGGCAAAGGAGGGAGAACCCACAAGGAACCTTTATGAAAGAGGGGGAAATTTGACCTCTTGGGGCCATGTCCCAAACTTAAGAACTATACCCAGATAAAAGGCTGGAATTCCCAGGCCTGGGGCAAAAGTGGCAGGGAGCTGCACCTCTTTTCCCCCGATAAATTGGGGTCCTAACCACTAGGTCACCCTGCTGCCAGGGAGACCTGGCCACACCCATCTTTGAATATGAATAGTCTTTGATTTGTAAATGCAAGTAAAGAAAAAATTCTTTCCGCATAACATGTAGAAACAATCTGTCCTGTCAATGTTTTCTAATTTTTTCCATCTATGTGTGGAATATATTTTGTTACGTGCATAGAGGATGTGCAGATGTGCACCACCCACAAAAACACATGCTGCCAGCTGTGGGTGCTCTGCTAATCACCTGGGCAGCATTTGAATGTCTCCTGGGTGGCAACCCAAGTGCTCAACTTACAGGGAACTCTGGTGCTGAGAGCATCTTCTTGCAATTTATTATTCTGCTAAAAAGAAAAATTTTGAATAATCTTTCTCTAAAGAAAAAGCGGTGTCCATTCACCAATAGTAATGCAAGTCTTGTATGGCAATGCTTTGTGAAACTGCATGCTCTTATAAATAAACAACTGTCTAAATATCCAGTATACGCTCTTTACTGACTATCTGAAATGTGGTGTGTAGTGCGCTACCATGAGCAACGAGCTATAGCATTCCTTTCAAAAGGGGAACAACTATTCTTTCCTGCTACAAAGCATTTTCCTTCCTGAGACTCTTGGCGCATGCAGAAACCACATGGCTCTTCTTCCCCATCAGTGACTTCAGCTCTCTCCCTGCTCGGAAGGAAGGGAGTTTCTCATACACCTAGCCCCTGAAACTGAAACTAAAACTCCGGCCCTGCCCTGCTGCTTTGGTCTGGCGAATAGCAAGGCTAGCTGACAGTCCAGTAGCTGCTTGATCACTCAACAAGGAGGGAGAGATGAGAGTTCCACCCCGCCCGGCTCTCTCAGCATGAGGCCCGAATCTGAGCAGTTTCTGCCTCAAAACACGAGACCACTTCCTCTCTGGCAGTGACTGTGCTGGTGCAGAGGTATAACCTGCTCCCTACAATTTGCCTTGCGCTATCTCCAAGGACTGATGCGTTGTTACATATTGGTACAGGTTGAACCTCTCTGGTCCAGCAACATCTGTGGCCCATCAGGACCACCGATGTTGCCAGGCCAGAGAGCCCCAGCCGGTCTGGCGGGTGGCAGCCCGCAAGGCCAGTGACCTGGGGACAGCGAGCCCTGGGAGAAGCTGCCACCCCTCGTCAGACAGGGTAGGAGCAGCTGCCGCCCAGCGTGGGACTGAGCAATAGGGGCAGGGAGACCCAGGAAAAGCTGATGCCTTGCATGGGACCAGGCGGCCCCCTCAGGAGCAGCTGCTGCTTTGTGTGGAGCTGGAAGGCCTGACCCCCCCTGGAGTGGCAAATTCCACTCAGGTCCTAAGAGTAGCGGACCAGGGAGGTCTAACCTGTACTGTATTACCATTAGGCAGGCAGCAGTAGCTTGCGGGTAAGTGACAGTGTGGGCCGTAACTTTATGCAGTGATACACAAATGCAAAATCCCCACTGTGCATGTGGGGATAAATGGAATAATTTATCCCAAATCTTCTCCCCAGGTTACTCCCCCAATTCCCCCCTCCTTTTTTTTTTTTTTTTTTTTTTGCTTTCTTTAAAAATTTGTGTCTAGTATTTTTTTTAAACCACGTGGCAACTCTAGGCGTGAGCCGGGCGATTGCCCGGGGCCACCAATTGGTTAGGACCGGCCCTGTCTGCAGCACCTTTCGCCTGTGTGTTTGTAGCATGTACCTCTTTGGACTCTAATGTTCCACTCTATACACGTGCACAACAGAGAGAGAGAACACCTTTAATCTGCGTGTTTGGAATAGGTACATGCTTATATTTAATTATATAGGTCACTTGAACATCATGAGTCTATATACAAGAGGAGTTACAGTGGTCAAGAACTAGCAAGATGTGGCCTACTACCAACTTCCTGTGCCCTTTGGGCTTGACTGGCACTTGCTCACAGGACAGTCCTTACTTATACAAGTAGTTCCATTTAAATCCATGCATTTTCCCTTTTAAGTCATTTCCTTAATAGTTACTGGGTCAGAAATTATTCTATTTATTCGTTAAATGAGCATTTCCCCCACTTGTGCAGAACAATATTGAAGACAATTTATCATAAATGTGCGAGGCGAATCATCACGGAGGCAGTGCGTTATTTCATTGTGTAAACATTAGAGAAGCCCTTTGAGTCAAGTGTTTAACGATAACACTTCATGCGCGAGGACTCGGCTGAGGTGATGCAATCCAATTGGCTTTTAATTCTGAAGATGCATTTCACAACAAACTGTTCATCAATTCTGTGTATGTGTGTGCGAGAGAGAAAGAGAGGACTTCGTTGTGAGTCTATGGGATTTGGTTTCCATAACAACCAGCTCCAAACATGCCTGCGCTGTGCAAGATGTGGCTGGAAGCTTATCCCTTGTCCCTGCTTGCCCTGAAGCAACACTGCAAGCGTCTGTATTTTTAAAACCATAGCTACCCACTTATTTGCACTGTCATTGAAGGGGGAGCATTTTATAAATCCTGTCCCTGCATCAGTGACCGAGCTAGAGGCCATCTTGGATGTGAGAATTTTGTCCTGAGTTTTGGAGCACTTCAGGTATGTATTTTGATGTTCGCAGTTTCAGCTCACTGTCAGCTTACAAATACCACGGTATCCTAACTAATTATTTAACATGCCATTGAAATTTAGCTGTCTGATGCTCAGAGTAAATTGCATGTTACCTGGACGCTTTATTAAAAATCTAGATTATATGTAATCTGTATGATAGATCTTCTAGGCGTTGGCAGATGAGGATCATGCTATAGAGCTGGTAGCATCTGTTTGAAATAAGACTACTATTCAGTCATGCAGGTAGTCTTCCTCCCTCCTCCCCCTCCCTCTCCCCGAAACCAGTGAATAGTAAGTAAGGTGAACAGAATTTGGGTCACTATTACCCATGGATAGTTTTGAACTGTTAAAATGAGAAGAAAAGAGAATTCAGGGGACATAGAAGAAATAAGTGATGGTCCAACCAAAATGATTAGGGGGCTGGAGCATATGACTTATGAGGAGAGGCTGAGGGACTTGGGTCCGTTTAGTCTGCAGAAGCGAAGAGTGAGGGGGGATTTGATAGCAGCCTTCAACTTCCTGAAGGGAGGTTCCAAAGAGGATGGAGAGAGGCTGGTTTCAGTAGTGACAGATGGCAGAACAAGGAGCAATGGGCTCAAGTTGTGGTGGGAGAGGTCCAGGTTGGATATTAGGAAAAACTATTTCACTAGGAGGGTAGTGAAGCACTGGAATGGGTTACCTAGGGAAGTAGTGGAGTCTCCATCCGTAGAGGTATTTAAGTCTCGGCTTGACAAAGCCCTGGCCGGGTTGATTTAGTTGGGATTGGTCCTGCCTAGAGCAGGGGGCTGGACTTGATGACCTTCTGAGGTCTCTTCCAGTTCTATGGTTCTATGATTAGGAATTGAAATGCTTAACAGCACAGCAAAGAAGAATACTGGAGAGACTCCAGTGGTGTTCATGTGTTTCATTAACATCTGCATTCCATCAAGCACTGACCAGAAGTGTTTGCTTTCAGATACCAGGAGGAAATGCCATCTAAGTACTTCCAAGAACGCGACAAACGGAGGTTCTCCGATTCCCTTAACAGCCAGCGCTGGAGATTCTTGAAAAGGGGCCTGGATGATTTCAGGAGTGGTTTCCCACCGCCTACGGGCAACATCATCCTTTGTGGCACAAAGGGGCCTGCACCAATTGTGCTGGGTAATCTCACATCTGATGCTACACGCATGGCCCGGAACAAGGGAAGGAAAAAATGCACCAAAATCCAAGTCAGCCCTTCAAAGCTCAGTCCGTTGCAGAAAGCCAGGAGAGATCTCATTGCACAGACAGAATACTGCCTGAGCCAACACCCTCTAGCTCTCTACCCTCATCTGGAAGACAGTGTCCCTCCAGAGGTAAAGTCCCCATGGCTGTCACTGTTCTTCTTTCAGACAAGTTTTAAATAGAAAAAGAACCCTGTTCCTTAAACAGAAAATCTACAGACTATATGACTCATCATGGCAAGGTGAATGATCGGAAACACAGCCAGAGATCTGCACTGGCATCAGTCACAGGCTTACTACCATTGTTGAGTTTTGTCGCATTGTTTGTAGTCAGTGATCCTGCCCCCGTTCATTTGTCAAAACGGAAGAGGGCGAAGCATTGTTTTAAAAGGGCTGCTTTAGAAGTCAAACAGCACACGGGGTCATATTCAGGCAGAGTGTGTAGCCAGCAATGTTATTGCCTGGCATCAGATGTTCCATGAGGTCAGTGTCTGTGTTTAAAATTAAAGAGATAAGAGTTTGACCCGGACACCTGCGCAAGTCCTGACCTAATCCAACCCCCGATCTTTTGCAGCCTGTCTCTTGAACAGCCCCATCTTCCCCCAGCCTGGCTGTATCCCTGCCCATTCCCTGCCTCATGCACACAGTTATACCTCTGGTTAGGGGAGGGAGCTTCTGGTAACAGAGCTCAGCATGGTCATCTGGAGAGGGAAGGACCAGGCAAAGGCCAAGGGTTAGTCTTGTGCTGGGGGAAGGGCATGAGAGAGACGAATTCATGGCAAGTACATGCCTCCTCAGGGCAAAATGCTATGAGGGAACAAAATACTGGGGTGAGGTTAAGAAGCAGCAAGACCACTAGGAAAGAGTATTTAGTGTGTCAGAAGAATCCTTAAGCAAAATGCAGGACAATGTAGCACTTTAAAGACTAACAAGATGGTTTATTAGATGATGAGCTTTCGTGGGCCAGACCCACTTCCTCAGATCAAATAGTGGAAGAAAATAGTCACAACCATATATACCAAAAGATACAATTTAAAAAAATGAACACATATGAAAAGGACAAATCACATTGCAGAACAGAAGGGAGATGCGGGGTGGGGGAGGGGGAGGAAGGAAGGTAAGTGTCTGTGAATTGCTGATATTAAAGGTAGGGAGAGTGGGATGTTTGTGAGTTAATGGTATTAGAGGTGATAATTGGGGAAACTATCTTGGTAATGGGTGAGATAATGGTATTAGAGGTGATAATTGGGGAAGCTATCTTGGTAATGGGTAAGATAGTTTGAGTGTTTGTTCCTTCCTTTTTGGAGAGTGTCGAATTTTAACATGAATGACAGTTCAGAGGATTCCTTTTCAAGTGCAGATGTAAAAGGTCTTTGTAGCAGAATGCAGGTGGTTAAGTCATTGAGAGAGTGTCCTTTCTGGTTAAAATGGCAAGAAACTGTTTTTTCTTTGTGATCTTGTCTGATATCTGTTTTGTGGGCATTAATCCTTTGGCGAAGTGTCTGAGATGTTTGTCCAATGTATATAGCAGGAGAATCCTTAGACATTTTGAGGGGCAAATGGGAAATCTTGGGTCTGATCAGCAAGATCCTAAGTCAGTGTAGACTCTACCTCTGTCCTTAGGTTGTGAAAAAAGTACTTCTGGTGAAATTGAAGGCAGGAACTTCAAAACCAATGAAAGAAAAATCTTTCACATCATGTATAAGTAGACTGGGGGAACTCCTTGCTGCTGTATACAGTTCAGGCCAAGAGCTGGACTTTTACATGGATATCTATCCAGAGATACATTAGTTAATGCTAAACCAGGTTTGGGAAGGTATATAAAACCCTGTGCTTCAGGTATGACACCGATCTCTAATTATTAGGGACTGAATGAGTCCTTCATGAGGGCAGATTATCTGTCAAATTAGGGGTTTCTTGAATCTTCCTCTGAGGCATCTGGTGTGTGTGACAGGAGAGAATACTAAATGGACAGTAGGGCTGATTTCATCTGGCCCTTGCTATGCTGTCCAGGTGCACTGTTTGTAATGTGCCCCCTTATGTAGACTCCACGGGAACTGCACTGGTGTGAATGCCGTGTTCTGTTCTGGTTTGGCTCTCAGCTTTTCGAGGAGGTTGTGGCCATTCTGGACCCTGAGATGCACGTGAATAATGAAGCTGGATACAAGGACTGTGACGGGGAGAGCCACACTCCTCAGAAACTTCAGCCCCAGCAGGAGGAGGAAAGGGAAAGTAAAGAAATGTCTTCCAAGCCATCAGCACTGTGAGTACAGGACAGGACCGTGTACGCAGCCCCACGGCTGCCTGGATCCACCTTCTGTTGCTAGGCCTGGGTCCAGTTCAAGTCCAATCTCTCTCCTCTGTTTCTAATGTTGAGTGTATACTATACTCTGTGTCTAGTCACCTTAAGAGGGTCTTGCCTGTCCGAGAGCATGTTTTACAGTCATGCGGAAGGGCTGGGCCAGGTTGTGGCTATGGGATCACATGTTTCCCAGAGAGGTGGAGAACAAACTTGGCCAAATCATGACTTTTAAAGTGTCTGTTTACAAATGTGATATGGTAATGGTACCATGTAGGGCCAAACACCGGTGTATTTTCTGCCCCAAGTAACCCTGAGAAAGTCAGAGCTGTTTCATGGGACAAACATCAGCACAGAACTTGGTGCATAGCACAAGAAAGTTTCCTGACAAGACTCTCCTCTTCAAGTATATCTTAATCCCGACACTTAGTCCCCCTGCTGCGGTAAACCTGGTATTTTCCTCTGTAGAAAAGGATAGTTGTCACATTCCTTTCCATATTCGTAACCTTTATACAATAGTTTGGGAGTCATTTGGACCAATGTAATATAGCTTGAGGTGCTCAGTGTTCTGAAAATCATTTTGTATCTTTTCCTGAAAAAAAAATTGTGGGCCAATCTTTTTAACAAAATCCGGTACCAAAAGGACTGTATTTATCACAAAATACCCTTATTTGAATCCGTCGGGTAATGCTGATTGTAAATCGATGCCCTAGAATGCATTTGGTAGTCCTGGCCTGAGGCCTCTCCCAAGACGGTGATCACATTGTGCTAGGTGTTGTACAAAACCATAAGGAGAGACTATAAATCACGGGAAGCTATAAGTAGTGGTTCAACAAGCAGGTAAGGGAGGGTGAGAGTAACAGCGTTAGTAAAATGTAGTGACCATCATGTATAATTTGCCAGTTTGAAGGGTTGCTTGTTTTTATCCGGATTACTTTTTTTTCCCCAGAAAAATGAGATCTGAACATAAGCCTGGCCTTCAAAACTTGGGACTTTCTCACTAGATGGAGGATAAGTGGCTTCCCAGTTTGGATCACGTCCTCTAGAGGTGAAAGGTTAATGCATGAAAACACTGTGACTGTGTCTAGACTGCAGGGTTTTTTCGAAAAAAGTAGCCTTTTTTCGAAAAAACTTCACCTGCGTCTAGACTACAGCTGCGTTCTTTCGAAATTAAATCGAAAGAACACGGATTTTCTTTCGACGGCGGTACTCCTCATTTCACGAGGAAGAATGCCTTTTTTCGAAAGTGCTCTTTCGAAAAAAGGCATTCTTGAATGCAAACAGAGCTTTTTCAAAAGAGAGCATTCAGATTGCCTGGGTGCTCGCTTTCGAAAAAGTGGCTCACTTTTTCAAAAGAAGAGGTTGCAGTCTAGACACTTTCTTTCGAAAGAGGCTTGTAGTCTAGACGTACCCTGTGCTATTTAGTCTCAAGAATGCAAGTCATCGGGAAATAAACTGAACCATCTGTGATCCAAAACAAGATAACCACAAATGTTATGTGGTCGTCTGTAGTTGTGACTGCACTGTGTCCTTTATTACCAAGTCTTGTTTTTGCTAATCAAAGACATTTTAGGTTTTATTATATAACATTAATATCTTAAGCAGCAAGAAGGCCAAAGGCAAGAATGCACAGTACACCTACCTGTCCAAGAAAGAGGTAGCAGCAAGAGAAAAGAAAGCCAGTCTGAGCTACAGTCCTCTGCTAGATGAAAATGTAAGGCGAGTGACTAAGGAGTTTTGTGACTGGGTGGCTTCTCTGGTAAGTAAAAGAACCTGTAAAACTCCACACACTCGTTCCAGAAATGCAATGATCAAGACTGAACCTAAGGCTCTCCAGGCTTGGCAACCTAAATACAACTTTGGATGCGGGTCTGAAAATGTTCACCCTAATTTACAGGAATGTTTGGGGGGAAAACTGAATTCAATCACTTGGAATGCAACGAAACAAAGAATAGCTTATTTTGGAATACTGTCAAGTCAATTTGGGTATGTCTACACTTGCACCCTCTTTCGAGAGAGGGATGCAAATGAAGACATTCGAAATTGCAAATGAAGCCGGGATTTAAATATCCTGCGCTTCATTTGCATATTCGCATTATAGCGCTATTTCAAAATAACAGGCGCTGTAAACCCTTCTCTCGAAATATCTGGTAAACCTCATTGTATGAGGAACAAGGGTAATTTCGAGAGAAGGGTTTTCTCTTGAAATAACCGCGTCATAACAGCGTCTGTTATTTCGAAATAGCGCCATAACACGAATATGCAAATGAAGCACGGGATATTTAAATCCTGGCTTCATTTGCATCCCTCTCTTGAAAGAGGGTGCAAGTGTAGACATACCCTAAGTTTAATCAAAGCATTTCCCTGCTGGGTGGACATAGTTATATGAAATCTGACAAGTACACTGCTCCATTCTGGAGTTGAATCCATTTATTTGATCAACATTAGTTCACCAATTCATATTGCTGTTAAGTCAACTTTACATGTGCCTATCGATTGCTATGAAAACCACATGTTATATATGTACAAATTAATAGAATTAGCAGAAATCAGTTGTGACACAAGAAAGGTACCCTGGCTAGCGTAAGGAAGATGAGGTCTGGGGATACAAGTTGTGGGCTAGCCAAACCAGAATGACTGTTCGAGAAGCTGCTTTCTCCTACTCTTACACCAGCTAATGGGGAGAAAAGATAGCTCAGTGGTTTGCGCATTGTCCTGCTAAACCCAGGGTTATGAGCTCAATCCTTCAAGAGACTGTTTGGGGCAAGAATTTGTCAGGGATGGTACATGGTCCTGCTGTGAAGGTAGGGGACTAGACTCAATGACCTTTCAAGGTCCCTTCCAATTCTAGGAAATAGACAATCTCCTTTAATTTCATTACAATTTAAAATTTTTAAATTTAATTTAAAGGAAGGCGAAAAATACAAGGTAGACGAAGCCACCATTCTGAGCTTGTTTGACACTAGATATGAAAGCAAGCCAGTGCTTTCTGTGCCCATCCATGTTGTGGAACTACACAATGTACCAGCAGAACTGAGAAAGTATGTGAGTGTTTCACCTCCATCGACTGCTGTCAAGAGTCCTCTTCACACCAGATGCCACCCATGCCTTGCCAAGGTAAAAAGGCCTGAACCTACACTTTCAGATATTTCTAATTACGTTAGGAGCCTGGATTTTTGGGTGCCCAGCTTGATCCTTTAAAGCAACCTGGTTTTCAAGAAATGCTGAGTACCCGCCTTCTGAAAAAAAGATTCCTCTAGGTGTTTGAAGGTGGGCACCAAAAATCAAAGCACTTAAAATCTCTGTCTGTTTTGAATATTTGTGTTCCCTTTTTTTTTTTTTTTTTTTTTGCCTGAGGTAAAACACTAGAACAAGTGAAGATGGGAACTGGGAACATCATTTAGGGCCTAGCCATCCTGTCCCTTTACTGGCCAACCTGCCACTGATGCTCAGAAGTTTTGCTTGAATAAAGTTCCTGATCTGAAGCCCGCTGGTGTTAATTGAAAGACTGTAGTTGAGCTCAGTGAGATTTGGATCAGGTCCAGAATTGCAGGCTCCCACACAATGGGTCAAATTCAGAGGGGGTGCGACGTGGTTTAGTTCTTGGACTCTCTTAAACTTCAACTCTTGTATCTATGCTGGTGTAACTGACAGCCTGGGGAGCATGTGGATAACTGCCTTTTAACTTACAAATTCTTACCCCTCCTGTTTGTGGCTCTTTTTGCTATATGCTTTCATTTTAATCATTTAAAACTTGGGACGCAATATTATCTCCTAACCACAGAGCACTTGTGTCAAACCTGAAGAGGAAGTGACATTGACGATTTTTGGGAAGAGAGCAAAGTTGGGCCAGATAGCAGATCACAAACATAGCAATGGAGAGGCTACTGCTTCTCCAAAATTGTAGCTGGTTTTGCTTTAGAGACTAGTTAGAAGACTTACCCAGCATTGCTGCGGTCCTTAACTCAAATTTTGTTTTTCTTCATTTAAATCATTGCTCTGGGGTGGGGGTAGGGAGGAGGGGCTCAGGATGCAGGCTGCCCTGGGAGAGAGGACAACTCCAGCCTTCTCTCACCTCAGCTGCAACAAGCACAACCGTGGGAGGGGTGCCTGTCTGTTGTGACAGACACAAACACAAACAGATCAACTCTCTGAAATATATAGTAAATAGTTGTCCCTTTCTCCATCCTTGCCCCCTGCTGGCCCAATGGAGTTATAGTTGTCCAGGTCCCAATCTCTGGCGCCTTTCTGCCTCCCACTGGTCATTCTACAGTAGAATCCCCTCCTACCGGTCCCCTCCCTTCCCATTTTATGAGAAACAATCACATTCCAGGCACATCCCATTCTCCGGGCACAACCAAACTCTGACCTTGCTTTAAGTTATGATCAGAAGAAGCTGCCTACCACATTGGGAGGTCCTAGCTCTTACCATTTAGGAGGAGTTCTTGAATAAACAGACTCATGGACAGACGGACACGCAGACAGATGCACATTTCTAAAATATATAGTAAGAAGAAGATGATGGAAAGACATTCTCTAGGGCAATTACTCCAGAGCTGTGATCCTCTAGGACATCTCAGGTCATCCACAAATAAAATTAGCATGTTTGAGATGAGAGCTAAGCAGTTGTTGCTTGAGATGAAGAGAAAAAGTTCCTGTGAGAGGATTTCTGTCTTGTATGGATCCTTGCTTAATGCTATATGTAATACAAAAAAAAAAAATCAATGAGAACTGATAATTATGGAAGATAACTAATGAAAGATTTATACTTATAGCAGAGATAGGATACCTGCTGTAGAGACCAATGGGAGACATAATCAGCTGTATTCTGTCCATCCCATCCGTTCATCAGGTCTGACATTTCACCCAGAAAAAAAAAGCAGTGGTTCACATAGCACGTAGTGGGAGGAAAGGCAAACGCAAACATGGCTTGTGAGTATTACCAATGATCTTTTTATAGGACCCATCCCAACCAAAACGGGAGAAGATCAGATATGGCGCCTGGTACCTTGAACCAAAAACATGGAGAAAACAAAGAGCAAATGAACCTTTAGAGGATCCAAATGCAACAGTTGATACCTTTCAGATTTTAAGGAACCAGCTTAGTGCAAAGGTACTACAAGCACCCCTGGACACTGTGGTATAGTTCTGAACGGAGTTAACGAACTGCCTGGAATATGCCCACATACCATATGCTGTCTGACATAGTCACAGTGCGGGGAGTGGTTTATATCAGTGTTTCTCAACCAGTGGTACGAGTCCTTTTAGGGATACTCGAGAGAAGTCTGGGGGATACATCAACACAACAGAAATTTGGAGAAAATTGAATTTGTGTTTTAAGTTTTACAGCGTTTTATTATTTTTGTACTTTTTACACCCAAATTTCATTGCCCGCCCGACTACGATTAAGTTGTTTAAACAAATGTGTTGCAACGGTAGAAAAAAATTGTGTCTGAAAACTGTAGATACTGGGGGTACTTATGTTTTTAAGGGGTACTGTCTAAAAAAAAGGTTGAGAAACACCCTACTGTTATATTATAACCCTACTGTTAGTTGTGGCCCAGCCATGGCTGTTAATTTAGCCCACACGAAATGGTGGCCCAGCAGGGCCTCTGTGTGGGCAGTGACTCTAAAAGGCAGATACACACAACAAACCAGCATTTACTCTGAAGGATTTTCAGTGACTTTTTAATGCAGGTGAGAGTGTTTTGCTTCAGTAAATAAGTAGATCAACCAAACACTTTCCAACTTGGCAAAAATTCATCCTCTGGGAGGGAGCAAGCACATGAAACATCAGCTTAGAAAGCACTTGCATTTGGCTGCATTATATCCACCCTTATAAACAAGGGCTCAGATCCATCACTGGTATAAACAGACAGCCCTACTTACAGGCTACATCTACACTGGCCCCTTTTTCGGAAGGGGCATGCTAATTTTCAACTTCAGAATAGGGAAATCCGCGGGAGATTTAAATATCCCCCACGGGATTTAAATAAAGATGTCCGCCGCTTTTTTTCCGGCTTGGGGAAAAGCCGGAAAAAAGCATCTAGACTGGCCCGATCCTCTGGAATAAAGCCCTATTCCGGAGGATCTCTTATTCCTACTTTGAAGGAATTGAAGTAGGAATAAGAGATCCTCCGGAATAGGGCTTTATTCCGGAGGATCGGGC